ACTACTAGTAAGGCACTTGTTACTAATAGCTTCTTGTTCCTAATAGCCAACCTTGTTACTACTAGTAAGGCACTTGTTACTACTAGTGAGGCACTTGTTACTACTAGTAAGGCACTTGTTACTAATAGCTTCTTGTTCCTAATAGCAAACTTTGTTACTACTAGTAAGGCACTTGTTACTAATAGCTTCTTGTTCCTAATGGCAAACCTTGTTACTACTAGTAAGGCACTTGTTGCTACTAGTAAGGCACTTTTTACTAATAGCTTCTTGTTCCTAGTAGCAAACCTTGTTACTACTAGTAAGGCACTTGTTACTACTAGTAAGGCACTTGTTACTAATAGCTTCTTGTTCCTAATAGCAAACCTTGTCACTACTAGTTAGGCACTTGTTACTAATAGCTTCTTGTTCCTAATGGCAAACCTTGTTCCTAGTTGTAATGCCAGGAGCCCCTAGTAGCTTCCTTGCTCCTAGTAGCGATGCCCTTTGCTCCTAGTAGCTTCTTGTATCATGATCACGATATTGGAGAACCGATGATCCAGAAGCCGCACAGTTGCTCAATGCTAGGCGTGGCAGACATCAAGCGCATCGCGCGGGGGCAGCTCAACCCAGGAGGAGTCCGGCTGCTGAGCTGGAAATGGTTCGTGTCATGTCGTGCTCTAAACTGGCAGTGGGAAGACAGAGAATTCATTTGGCTCTTTCCAGACAAGGATGTTCTGTGACAGCTTTGAGGCGAATTAGGTGCTCTTAGTTGTATGCCTTTGGATCACCACAACGAAAAGAAGTGCTGTACTTAGAAATGCAGGATGACGTGACATGAAGATCTTGTCCGCAAGGGACGTCTTTGTTGGTGAGGCCTGGCAACGACTCTCAGAGGAAGCCAAGAATATGGTGCTGAAGCCTCAGCGTCGCTACTGGTAACAAGAAGCTACTGGGGGCTCCTGGCCTTACTACTAGGAGCAAGGACGCTACTAGGACGCTACAAATAGTAACAAGTGCCTTACTAGTAGTCACAAGAAGCTACGAGCAACAATGGCCTCGGTCGGCTGAAGCCGTCGTGACCGTCGCTTCGAACACGGCCGTCGCTTCTTGCTCCTAGTAGCGATGGCCTCCAACCCCTACTAGTGATGGCCTCCACCTAGTAGCTTCTTGTTACTGGTAGCGAACATTGCTCCTAGTAGTACAGCCAGGAGCCCCGTTCGTAGCGTCCGATCGCTCCTAGTGGCGATGCCCTTTGTTCCGTTCGTAGCGTTAGTAGTAAGGCCAGGAGCCCCTAGTAGCTTCTTGTTACTACTAGTAAGGCACTTGTTACTAGAAGCGATGCACTTGTTACTAGTAGCTTCTTGTTCCTAGTAGTAAGGCCAGGAGCGCCCCGTTCGTAGCTTCTTGTTCCTCGAGGCAAGGTCTGCTGTGCGTGGATCCGGCGGATCGGCTCAACGAGTCCAGCGCATGCCTTACAGAGCATAGACAGCGACTCAGCAGAACCCCCCCCAGGTGCCAAAGAACACTAAGGTTTTATGCCTTAATCATCCTTATTATATATGTGATTGATTGCATGTTTTTTTTTTTGCTATATGTGATTGATTGCATGTGTGTGCGTGTGTGGATGCATTTTGTTGGATTCCGCCGCGACTCAGGTTGTCTTCGCCATCCTTGGCTGGAGGAGAGCCGGTGTGCGGTTTCATCGTTACAACTACACCGCAAATGCAACGCCCCAAACTAGTCCAACAATTGTGCTACAAGAGTGCTCCTGAAAACCGCCCGTTTCGTGCATTTGTTGACAATTTCACTCTCACAAGGGGACTGGGTCAAGACGCGCCTTGAGCAATGAAGCAGCGATGAAGTGTTTTGGAATGACACATCTCTAGTTTGCTTCGTCAATCAATCAAAATCACCGGATTGGCCAATACTGCAAATACTACTCGAATGTTGGTCACCCAAAAACAAGAAACACAGACATAATGTGACATAATAACATACTAATGCCGTAGGACGATATATTTCCCTATCCATTTTTGAAATTCAGTTGTGAGAATATTAGAAGATACTAAGTACTAAGATTCATATTCTTGTAAAAGCTATTGGTGGAATTCCAGAAGACACATCAATAGAATCCATAGGGGCCATCGCCACTAGGGTGGAGGTCATCGCTAGTAGGTTGGAGGCCATCGCTAGTAGTAACTCAAAAACTCAACTCAATAGCTTCTTGCTCCTAGTAGCGATGGCCTCCAACCTACTAGTGATGGCCTCCACCTAGTAGCTTCTTGTTCCTAGTAGTAAGAATGGTACTAATAGTAATGCCCTTTGCTCCTAGTAGCGTCCTTGTTCCGTTCGTAGCGATGCCAGGAGAGTCCCGTTCGTTGCGTCCGATCGCTCTGTTCGTAGCGATGGCCTTGTCGACGAACCGACTCCGATCGGCTCCCGATCGATGCGTCGTCAGGAGAAGGACCACGAGAAGGCCGTGGCGCGCGGGAGAAAGCGAACTCGTTGGTGCGATAAAATACATATAGTAATATGTATATAGTGAATATTAGGGAATCACACTTCGATGGCACTCGCAAAACACCTATGCCATCAATTTGTGACTCTGCTTGGGAAATGCCATCAACCACTTGAGGCTAGATCCTAGAACAAATAGATGGCATAGTGAGATTTTGGAAAAACGATGTCCTTCAAAAGGCTTCAACCACCGGCTGGATAGAGAAAGCTGTTGTGAGTGAACACGGTGAAAGTGAGACCTTACTGCCCTTGCATGAAAGATAACAAGCATATCGCGAAAAGGAGCTGTTCACATGTGGGCGACGGAATCCTCAAACCGCAGAGTCGCAACACAGCAGTATAATATAATATATGTATTTATAGATTTATTAAATTCATATTTTTATATACGTTTTTAAACTACAACAATCTTGTCTTCTTTTGAGTTATAAATAGCGATGGCCTCCTACCAATGACAGGCGTTTTGTCCGCGTTCGACTCCCAGCCAGGTCACCTGCTCCTCCGACACGGACATGTCACCGCCCGCGAGCACTCGCCGTGGCCATGGCTATGAGAGAAAGGCACGAGCCGTGCGATACTTGACGAAGAAACTGTAAAACTATACGTGGATTCAGTGAGTCTGAATATATTCAGCCAATCAATTGAAAGAGTCAGATCTTGAAGCTCCCTGGTAGTGCTGGTATTCCACAGTTTCACAGCTGTCTCCGAAGAAGCATCTTTCGCTTCAGGTGCTTCCGTTGGAGGCCATCCGTAGTGGGTTTGAGGCCATCGCTTAACGGTCGAGGCGCCCTCTGACACCCTCACGCTCTTCGACAACGTCGCCCCTTGGGCCCACAGGGAGCGACGGGTGGACACGGGATTGGGCGAAAGAAAAGGCCGGACGGGTGACGCTTGGTCAAGGTTTTAGATGTTTCATGTTTTGGACAGTCATTACTTATCATGGAAGGTGTTTTGAGTGTATCAGCTTGATAGTCATGAGTGGTAGAACCACTCTGCTTGCTGCCCATCTCAACGCCCATCTCAACGCCTTCTGCCTGTCGACCTTTGGCATCTGCACCGGTCCTCTTGGCGCATCGTCACCAAGCTTGTGGGGAGCCTCAGCTGGAAGTGTTTGGACACGAGTCACGACAGGGGTGCCAGTTGAACTGCTGAACATGAATGATATGATCTGATACCACGAATATTTCATCATTGTACTATTATTGCTTCAAGGTGCCTCTTGGTGGAATGATGCGCTGAAGCTACCCACTTGGCTCAGAACGTGATTTCACTTGAAGCTGCTCAGCTAGTCAGTCACTGTCCCAACGACGCCATGATTCGCGCACTGGTTCTTTTCGCGCCTTTCTTTCTGGCCCCCCAGTGCGAGTCCTTGGTGGTGACTTGGACGGAGCAGACGGCAAGTCCAGACGATATGTGGATCGAGAGCATTTGCATGACACCGGATGGCAATACGAGGCTGGCACCAGATGGTAACAACAGAGGCAACCTTTGGACCAGTTCTGATGCTGGGGCCACTTGGGTGGAGTACGAAGGAGGATCAGGCCCGCAGCACTGGAAATCTTGTGCAGTTTCGGCCGATGGCAGCAAAATGGTTGCGGGTGCCGGTGGCAGCAAGATCTGGGTGAGCTCCGATGGTGGTTCCACTTGGACAGAGAACCAAAAAAGCCGGTCTTGGAATGGTGTGGCCATGTCAAGCGATGGCACCAAGATTGCAGGAGCAGCGAATCCAGGCAAGCTTGTTCTAAGCATTGATGGTGGGGCCACATGGCAAGAGCTTCTCAGTGCCGCCTCGGGTGTGAATCAAAAGTGGAACGCTATTGCCATGTCAGCTGATGGCACCAAGATCGTGACGGCGGTCGAGGATGGCAACATTTGGGTGAGCTCCGACAGTGGTGCCACTTGGCAAGAGGACACCAGCGTTGGGTCAACTCAGAAATGGCGTCGGGTGGTCATGTCAGCTGATGGAACAAAGATGGTGGCGCAGCCTGTTGAGGCGGGGCAAAGCAGCATTTGGCTGAGCTCCGATGCTGGTGCGACCTGGCAAGAGACCAGTACCGGCCTTGCGTGGCAAAGCTGGTTGTATTGGGCGGACGTTGCCATGTCAGAGAGTGGCGACATCATTGCTGCGTTGGCGTATTCCACCGATGAGCTTGCTGTGAGCATGGATGGTGGTGCCACATGGTCAGCAGTCGAAGTCAGATGGGCACAAAGCTTCAGGTCTATTGCCTTGTCAGCAGATGGCCGAAAGATCGCTACCAGTTTCGAAGCCAAAATTTTTGGTGGCACCCTTGACACCACGACCACCACGGTCAGTACTATGACAAACACTACCACGGCGACCACAACGCGCACCACCTCAATGACCACGACCATGACCATGGACAGCACGAGCGATGACGGCGATGATGGCACCACAGGCACCACAGGCGGCAACAGCACGAGCTCCGCGACTGAGACCACCACGAGTCTTGATGATGAGACAGGCAAAGCCAGCTCGCACGCTCCTCCCCTCGCCGTTGCTTTCGCAGCAGTTCTGGTGGCCATGCCGTTGATGCGTGCTTGAATGTGAAGATGTCCGAGCCTAGGTTGCAGAACCCTTTTGCATCTTTATGCACTGTACCCTTTTCGCATTTGAAGATCAGACTTCTGCACGGCCCAAAATCATTTTTGGTTAATGGCATGTTCAATGGGAATAGAATTCTACAAAGACTGGCCTGGCATCAACTGATCTTCGGACACTTTTCAACAGGTCCTTTCACGGTAACACCGTGAAGGGGACCCTGTTCCAATTCCGCACAATGTGGCGAGCACTGACTCCGAGACACCATGAGACCTCGGAAGCAAGAGGCAAAACCCTGATTTCCTTCACGGCCTCAAAAGTGCGTGATTGAAAGGGGGCTTTGGGGGGGTGCGTGTGTCTTCCGCTTCGTTTCCCACATTGCTGTCGCAAGCTGTGAACACGGAATTGTCACGGACCGTGTGATTCGTTTGGTCGAATCCATCCCCAGGTGGCACCAACTGCGAACGCCACGGCCTGGCAGAGCCCGGCGAATCCACCGCAAACGGCAAAGAAGCGGATTTGAAGTAAGTGGTTTTGAGCTCCTAGTAACCAGTGCATCGCTACTAGGAACAAGTGCATTACTAGTATAGCATGCATAGCAAATATAGCTACTAGTAGCTTTTTGTTATTGGTAATGCACTTAGCTACAAGCTTGGCTGAAGTGCTGAGCCCTCAAACTTCACTGACTTGCATGCATGCAGTGACCAACTACTCCAGACTCCAGACTGTCTCCCTTTGTTTGGAGACTGGTGATCTGTATGCAGTATGCAGCATGCAGCTGTGAGCCACTCTTCGGATTGTCGACTTCCATTTCTGTCGGCTAGATGAAAGACACGCATGAAACATCTGTCATAACGCCCATACTTGACCCCTTAATGCTTGTTTGTTTCGTTGGATCCCGATTTTTCGGTCGAGTTTGAGTGAGCTGGGCTACACCTGAGGATGAACCGAGCATCGCGTATTGGGCGCCGCCGCTCAAGGCCTCCGCGTGAAGGTTCCCTCATATGGACAAACTCCAACCACGACAATCCGGAGATGCCACCACGACAATACAAGTATATAAAGATGCGAAACACTCCAACAGCTGGTGTTGCATGACCTGCTTGACTTGTCAGGAAGCTCAGGGATTGCAGCGATAGAGAATAAGAGGGCCCAGTGGTTAACCCAACATCGCTTCATTGACCCAACGTTCAAAAAGAAAACGGCCTCTCTGGGGTGAGCCGACCTGTCAATTAATGTCAAACTTATTATATCTTATAATAGGGACTTTAAGAAACTTAATAGCAATGACAACTTGCTCACCAACCTACTAGACAATGCCCAACTTTGTGAAGATCCGACGTTCCACTTCGAAGCATCACCGGATGGGCAGCCGGGGTCATGGAAACCGTCCCGCACGCGACCCGCACACTGGCAGGGCGCAGTGAAGCAGATCTCTGGATCGGTCGACCTGAGAGATCCGAGAGAGGTCGACGTTGCGTTGTGCAAAGGACGCTACGAACGGGGCTCCTGGCATCGCTACTAGGAGCATTCTTACTACTAGGAACAAGAAGCTATACTATAGGGGCTCCTGGCCTTACTATTAGGAGCAAAGACGCTACAAACGGAGCATGAAAAAGCATTTGTCTCGGAGAGGGTCTACAACGGTACACTCTTAGTCTCGGATTCCAGACTTTTCACGACTCCGGGACACATTGAAGAAATCAGACGATTCCAGGTGTTGGTGAGACCATCCACTCTATCCAGCACCCTCTTCGACCTTCTCATACCTTCTCCAAGCTCAGGTGGGGAATGCGGTGGACTGTGTGGAGATCCAGCTGGGGCCCAGAAATGAACGCCATCCCTTTGCGGATCGCACCGCGGTGGATCGATAGAGTGGAAGGAACCGTGAGCAAAAAGCAACACAAAAGACACAAACCTATGAAGCATGCTCAACAACCTAGGAGCAAGGACGCTACTACGGGCTCCTGGCCTTACTAGGAATAAGAAGCTACTAGGGACTCCTGGCATCGCTACTAGGAGCAA